GGAGGGGAAGGACCAATCTTTGTATTTCAAGTTTGAGGAAAGTGAATTTAAAAAGTGGAGTTAAAAAAAGGTGGAGAAAAAAAGCAACCCCCCCCCCCCAACTTAATGCAAGAAGCTGCCAGGGGAGTGTCGTGTGGGTGGGTTCTAGTGGCAGCGAATTCTTCTTTGAGTGAGTTCCTCCACCCTTAAGGAGGCGCTGGTCCACCCCTCCTCAAGAAACCATTGCTGGATCCCACCATACTAGACAACTTTTGTCTAGTACCCAACCTCCCATTTTCGAGGAAGTGATTGAGATGGTGGTTGTGCAGCAACTTTAGAGGATTCTGGATGAAGCGGATTATCTGGACCCCTCTCATTCAGGGTTCAGACCTGGATATGGGATGGAAACAGCATTGGTCGTGCTTTTGGATGATCTTTGGCGGGATCGGGATGGGGGTGATGCATCCATCCTAGCTCTGCTTGATCTCTCAGTGGCCTTCAGTACCATCAACCATCGTATTGTTCTGGATTGGCTCTGGGGATTGGGGATGGGTGGCACCGTATTACGATGGTTCTCCTCTCTCCAGAGTTGATTCCAATCGGTAGTGATTGGAGGGGAGAGATACCACCCGTGGCCCCTACTTTGTGGGGTTCCACAGGGTTTGGTGCTCTCCCCCCCTCCTGTTCAACATCTACATGAAGCCGCTGGGTAAGATCATCTGTCACCACGGAGTGAGGTGTCATCAGTACACTGATGATACCCAACTATACCTCTCTACCCTTGGCAAGTTAAGCGATGCTGTTGGTGTCCTATCCTGGTGCCTGGAGGCTGTGGGGGCCTGGATGGGGAACAACAGGCTTCAGCTGAACCCTGGCAAGCCGGAGTGGCTCTGGGTTTGGGGCCCTCTGATTCAGGGACTATGCCATCTTTGTTACTGGATAGGGTTGCACTGCCCCAGACAGACCTGGTTACATCTGCCCTTCCCACCAGGTCCGAGTGGTTCTCGTCTGTGAAAGAGTTTCATCCGGCAGGACCCAGGAGATGGGCCTTTTCTGCTGTGGCCCCCCCCGTGGAACATCATCCCCCCCCCCAGGTGAGATTGGCCCCATCTTTGGTAACCTTCCAGAAGGCCCTCAGAACATGGAGGCTTGTGAATCTCACGGAAACGGTGATCTAATGAAATGGATGCATTGTTTTTTTAGCATCAATCTTTCTCTACTGTCTTGCTATTAATAATATTGCTGATGTTTTTTTTTAAACTGTGCTTATGTAAATATTTTGATTTTATTATTGTTTTTATTGTGTGCTGCCTAGAGTCACTTTTCTGTGAGATGGGTGGCAATATAAATATAACTAGCTAACTAGCGGAGCGATTAGCACACCTACCTTGCCTCTTGTTTCTGTAAAAAAAAAAAAAAAGCAGTAATTTTGGTTGGTTGCTAATGAACTAAACTTTCACCCAATTTATTCTTAATTTCTATATGCAATCACTTGTTAGATCTATAATAGCCCAGCCAGTGGCAGAGACAGTATTCCCTCCTCCCATGTTATCTTCACAGGGACAGATAGCTGCTATGTTTAGGGTGAGAGATCTCTAGAAGAATTATGAAATTCCATAAGGAAATGAGCATGGGCCACTTTTTTCACCACCACATATGAATTAACCATTTTTATGATATGCTTTATGGACACAGACAGGAGTTTTCACCTGGCAGTAATCTGGAAAGGGGGGGACTCCGTATAAATATCATAAATGGGGGGAGATCAAAGTCACTTAGCCACTTTTTTTTTTTTTTTTTTAACTTTAAGAGCTCCTTCAAAATTTGTTTAAACCCAATGTAGAAAAGAAACACAAATCCAGAAGAATAAAACCTACATATCAAAAAAGGCATGGCATAGAGTGTCCAGATTTTCGGGTTGCTTAACATATGTCCTTGGAAAACACAGTAGTACGGCAAGAAAAAAAAAAGCCTCTAAAGAGGGCCTCTCCTTTTCTTTCAGTACTTTAAACTAAACTGACCTTGAACAGGGAAGGCAAAGCAAGCCTAGGGTTTCCGTCAACTTTCCCACTGAATATTGCACTCCTGGTTCTGCCCCTTGCGTTGGCATTTGAGTGACAGCTGCCAAGGATATAACGAAAGCGACCCCTTTGTCACTTTTGGCCCCTCACGTGGCTTTTCGCTACCAGAGAGTCCAAAAAACCACACCCTCGCCGAGTAATCCTTTGGTCCCCCCAAATAGGCTCTGCGTGCTTGCTGTGTTCTTTGCTGGGGGATAAAGATAGAGGCGCTGCCCCTTTAAATAGTTCAGGGTGTTCTCTCTCAGGCCACCATGACATATCTGGGCGTTGGAACGGGGGCTGAATAAACTGAGTAAGCACGAGATCTGCGCTTGCAGTAAAGGGATTGCAAACAGCCGGGGCTTGTCCCATTCGCAGATACACACCGGAGTGGTTTGCGGCGACTTTGGTTCTGCTAGGCGGGACTCTGCTCCAGGAGTTTAAACCACCGGGTTCTCTTGCTTTAGGGAGTACTGCTGCAAAGGAAGCGCTCTGTTTTCGGCCTTGGTAAGTCCACCACATGATGACGATCAGGGTTATTGTTGTCGTTGTTGTTGTTATCATCATCATCTAGGTCTAGCGTAAACTTTTCTAGCCTTACCTCTTAGGAAGGTTAGCGGGCCAAAGCTCTTCGGGGACATCACACGATCAGGAAACATCAGTCCTGTTTCTTAACTGAGATCAGACCCCCAACGGTCTACCGCTTCGTTTATTTGGGACTGGGGGGCACCGAAGTTGCTGGGACAATTATCAATGGGTCAATCCCGGCCCGTTTCTAAACAGTACCAGCGCCGTTCGAAAGTCCTCCTTTTCCAAGAAGAAAGGAAGGCTGGACGCGCGGAAGCAGTCGCGCGCTGGCAACTTTGGGAAGAGATCTTGCGCGGGAGGCGCAGTGCTCGC